ATAGCAGGAGGGGTATGCTGTCTCTGTGCTGATACTACTCTTTTATAGATAGCCTGCCCTCTGCATGCCCCACTGCAAGCCACACTTGTAGGTGATGTGAGCAAGGAAATGTAAGCTAGTGTAACTTATTTCCTGTCCTTTAGCATGTCGGTAACACCAGGGGCAGCCTTGCCTTACACCAGTATTGATGGCTACAACATTGCAAACACACCATTATTGATGTGCCTTTACACCCCTCCACATGCACCACCAGCTCTTACTATGGACAGCATCTGCACATAGTTCAGGAAAGCACCTTCCTGTCTCTTTAGCATGCAGCACGACCAATGCTTTGACAGTTATCTGGTGTATTAATAGCCATTGATCTTCAAGTTTTTCAACATGAGGAATAAATAAGCTGTAGTGGGAGGCTGGATACCAGAACCAGAGGGACTGTTGACCTGTTCCAATGGGCTAGTTCGCGTGAAATAGAGAGTGGTTCTGGAATCAAAAGAGGCTCCTAGCATAGGTATTCAGCAGCTTCAGTACAAAATACCAAGGGAAGACGCTACAGAGAGAGAATGGATAGAGCTGTGCAAATAATGGATATTTCCATTGTCTGGGAACTCTGAACAATTGGAAAAAAAATGTTTTGGGTTGAATCATATCCAAAATTGTTGGTGAATTGAGAAGTCAGAAAAAACTGTTTTGGGTTGAACTAAATGTACTTTTTGTTTCACCTGAAACAAAATGTTTCATTCATATTTTGAGCATTCTTTAACACTTTTAAATGACATTTTTAAGCAAGGTAATTTTGAATAAAAAAAGCATGGTTAGAAAATGTCAAAATGAAATAGTTTGATTTTATTCTCAATTTGAGGGATTTTTAACCAAAACAATTAGGCAAAATGACACTAATTTGTGAAATGTTTGCATCACCAAATCTGCACTTTTTTTTTTTTAAACACAAAAAAGTTTTGGTCGAAAAACTTCACCCAGCTTTGGCAATAAGCCTTTTTGTGCAGCTGCTGTTGTGGTATAACTGTGACAGTGTAGTATTTGGAGGATGGGGCACTTGGACTTGGGACTTGTGTTGGAAACTTTTGGGGGCAGGGACTGTTTTCATTTATCTGTGTTTCTACAGCACCTAGCATAATGGGGTCCTGGTCCATGACTGGCATCCTAGGTCCTACTGGAATACAAATAATATTCCCAGCTCTGGAAGGAGGGTGTAGGTTAGTGGTTAGAGCAGTGGGACTGGGAGGCAGGACTCCTGGGGTCTATTTCCAGTTCTGGAAGGGGAGTGAAGATTACCATGTTTGATGTAATAATTTGAACCATCACCCAAAGTCCCAAATTTTGCAGATTTCCTATTTCAAAATGCAGAGGGACTTGCTCTGTTAGGTGCCGGCAAAACCCTAATAAATAGCCAGTTTTCTGGGCATTATCTGCGGTGTTTGGGGTTTTATCCTGATCCTTGCAGATCGCATTTCCATCCAACAAATTTCCATTGCTATTTTTAACTTTTAGTCCATTGTCTATTTAATCATTAACAATACAGGGTATGTTTCCCTAAATCACAGTCTGTCTGCCTATGTTACTTAATGCCAAGCAGCACAGGGAACAAAGATCGGTATATGAGCTTGTTGGAAATTTTTCTGATAGAATGATTTTCTGTCAGAAAATACTATTTTGCTGAAATTTTCTGCGGGAACATGTTAATTTCAATTACATTTTAATTTTTTTAATTGGAAACAAAGTGTTTCAATAAGGTCTAAATGTTCCGTTTTGACATTTTGATACGGGTTCTGATGTGCAGCTGCAATACAAATAATAATTTCAGAACAGAGCATTGCAATGTTTTGTTTTGAAATGACTTTTTGTTTAAATATTTATTTCATAGTTTAAAAAAAGTAAACAGTTGAAATCAAAATGATTCAGACTGAAAGTTATTTTGGAAACCGTGGCATTTCTCACAAAATGGGAAACTCCAGTTCCTGCACAGCTCTAATCATTATCCCCATTTTAGAGGGGAGGAAACTGAGGAACAGAGATGGGAGGAGATTTGTTACGGATCTCAGTGAGTTGATGGCAGAGTGGAGACTAGAAGCCAGGATAATGTGACTCCTGGCCCAGTGTCTGACTGAAATCATGCTGCCTCATCAGTATAAATGAACTGCTGACATTAGAACATACAATTATGATGCACTATTTAATGACACTTTTGCAGAAAGGAATGCTTCTGAACTCAATTTAGTCTCCCTGGTTACTCATGGGGAATGCATGTAAATGGTGCTGTGATGAATCAGTCACGTGACAGAAATCTAGGCTCTGATTCCTCCAAGGAGACTATTCTCACAACTGCACCACATTTCACCGTGGGCATGTTTTCACATGATGTTCTCCACCCCGCCCCTTACTAATTACATGTAAGGTTTGGAATTTAGGTTTCTGACCTGAAACATGTCATGTTTTGGTGTGGGTTGAGGATTAGGAATGGGCTGCAGTCTTTCACCACCTGTTCTAGTTGTAATCCAGACTTGTCTGGTGGTAGGGTTGCCAGGCATCGAAAAGGGACCCTGGCAGCTACAGTCGGCACCACCGACTGGGTTGTTAAAAGTCTGGTCAGCAGCGCAGCAGTCGGGGCTAAGGCAGCTCCCTGCCTGCTCTAGCTCTGTGCAGCTCCTGGAAGCATCTGCTAGGTCCTTGTGGCCCCTACGCGCATGGGTGGCCAGGGAAGCTCCGCATGTTTCCTCCACCCCTAGTGCCAGCTCTGCAGCTCCCATTGGCTGGGAACCGTGACCTAATGGGAGCTGTGGGGGTGGTGCCTGCAGGCACAAGGGCAGCGTGCGGTGCCTCCCTGGCCAGCCATGCACCTAGAGGCCGCAAGAACCTGGTGTCCGCTTCCAGGAGCCACGATAAGCGCTGCTGGGACCCTGCACCCTGAACCCCCTCCCGCACCCCAACCCCAGCCCAGAGTCCCCTCCTGAACCCAAACTACCTCCCAAAGCCCGCACCCAACACCCTGCCCCAGCCCTAAGCACCCTCCTGCACCCTGACCCCTCATTTCTGGACCCACCCAGAGCCCACACCCCCAGCCCAAAGCTCATGCCCCCCTGCACCTCAGCCCGGAGCCCACCGGTCAAGTAACTTGCATATGAATTGACAAACTAGATCAGATCCCTCATCCCAAGTCTATCTAGCACAATATCCTGTCTCTGACAGTGGCCAAAACCAGGAGTTTCAGAGGAAAGTGTAAAAATCTTGCAGTAGGCAGATGTAGGATAATCTGTTCCCACATAGGTCTTATCCTGTTTTCTACCGGTATGTCTTCACTGCAGAGTTTACCTGGATCTGGGAACCTGAGTGTACAAGCTTCCACACTGCTAAGCCACACTTGGGTCATACCTGTGTAGCCATGTCCATGCAAGCATGGATGGCACGTATCATAAGATGGGGAAGGCTATGCCTCCCCAAACAGCCCCGCGTGGCCCCGCCCATGCTCTGCCCCGAGACCCCCTCCTTCTTGCCGCTAGTTAGCCCCAGCCCAGGCCGGCTGCTCCTCTTCTGGGAAGCCGACTGGGGCTAGGGCAGCCAAGACTTGGCGGGGCTGGGGCCGCCTGGCACTGGGGCCGTGCTGCCAGCACTCTGTGGCTGGGGCCATGCTGCCTGGTGCTTTGGGGCTGGAGGGTGGTTGCATGCCACCCGGCGCTCTGGGGCTGAGGGAGGTGCGGGGGGGGGCTCTGGGCTGTGGCAGGGGAAGGGGGGCAGGAGGGGCGGGGACTCAGGCGGAAGAGGCAGGCTGGTCTGGGGTCTAGCCTGGTTCACCCACCACCCATGCATGCAGGTGCTTCACTAACCCTGACTAGGCACAAAGATCTCGGGGGGACATATCCCCTGGTTCTTAGTGCTGTACTAATATAGAAATTGGTAGGTGACTTCAGTTGCAGAAGAAGGGAGTAGGTAGAAGGGCAGGAACCTGGGGAATTATGGGAAGGTATTGGATGGAGGACCATTGGCATCTCAGATCTGAATCCCAGGTTACTTGCCGGTGTCCACATTACCAAATATTTGGGTTTGAGACCAAGTTAAAATGGAACCAGGGCTGTAACTTGTACTCATAGTCAGCTAAGTGGGCCTGGGTTTGAAGCACAAATAAACCTGGGTAAAAAGGTTTTGCGTGTGGATGGGAGGAGGATTAGGGCTAAAACCTGGGTAAAAGTCTGGGTTACTTCTTCAGTGAAGACATAACCTTATAATAGTTAGAGATTGTCTTAAGCCCCAAAACACAAGGTTTAATATCCCTTCCAAAATTTGTTAATTGGATATTTTATATCCATATAAATAATAATAATCCCCATCTTTTCTACAATAAACCAGAGTGCTTTACAAAAGAGGTTAGTATCATTATCCCCATTTTACAGACTGAGAAACTGAGGCACAGAGGGGTGAAGGGACTTGCCTAAGGTCGGACAGCAAGAGAGTCAGGAATGGAATCCAGGTGTCCTGAGTCACAGTCCGCTGTTCCGTCAGCTAAACCACACCACTCCCCAATGTTCAATCCCTTTAGGAGACTTGTTAAATTGTTGTCCTTAATGATTTCCTGTGTTCCATAGGCCTTAATCATACTTGTAAACTGGTCAACTCTGTGCCGCAATTACTTCATGTGGTACTGAGTTCCACAGGTTTTTAATGTCACTTTGTAAACTGACCTGCTTTGTTCCTCAGTTTTCCTCTCTGTAAAATGGGGATAACCATACTGACCTCCCTTCATAAATCACTTTGAGATCTACTGATGAAAAGCTCTAGATAAGAGCTAGAGACTATCATCATCTCCAAAGACTGGAGAAGCTTGGGTTTGTTTGGTTTTCTTAATCAACCAAATCATCTGCCTGTTGCTTATGAGAGAGGGTGTGGTAGCAGGTATACACTTATAGCTGTATCCTTCCATCCTTGCTCTGGTAAAGCATGCCATTTGCCTGAGTAACAACAACAGCAAGACATGACCTGCATTAGTTCACCAATCCATCACCTTTCTTTCTGTCCCTCTGGATCCATCTTCCCACAGGCCGCCCTGGCATATGGCTTATGAACAGGACTCTGAGCCATTCTCTCTGCAGCATTGGTAGGAGAAGGAGCTGGCATGAGGCATCAGCAGCAGACTCTGCTTCGTGACTAAGATCCATTTTAAGCTCTCTGACTCATTCTGCACCCAGCCCCCAGTGCTGAAGCAGCTCTGCAATCAGAATCTTTACGTAAAACAATGAGCTGCTGCTGTTTCTTCCTTCATGTCCCCATCCCCTCCTCTTGCAGCTCAGCCTGTTTATAGCTCTGTTGACATCTGGCCCCGAGAATGAAACAGCAAGGCTAACAATGATCAACATAACTGCGCTATTATCATCCCTGCCCCTCAAGCTGGTTTGGAAGGGCATCCTCTGCAAAAGCTGCAGTGCCAAAGATGTTATTTTTGGTGGGGTGGGAGACTCTAGTATCCAGCTGACTGCAAACCACTCCTGATTCAGATTCTTTTGCTTAGTAGCTAAGCCAGGGATAGGGCATGTGTCAAAACTAGCATCAACCTATCCCTGGTAGAGTGTAGTCCTATTAACTGGTTAGGGTTAGGGCAATAGCCTGGGATTCACAAGGCCCAGGTTCAATTCCCTGTTCAGACATGGACTTCCTGTGTGACCTTGGTCAGGTCACTTAGGTTCACCTTGCCTCAGTTTCCCCATGTGTCAAATGTGTGGCTCTTAGCACTACCCTACTTCACAGGGTGTGATGAGGATGAATACGTTAAAGATTGTGAGGTGCTCAGATTCTATGGTAATGGGGCCATATATGTACTTAATAGTTTGTCTGAATCATCCCCACTGATAGAAGAAAAAAGTAGACTAATCAAGATGGAGCCCATGCTCTGATTCCTGGGAGCCTGGTGTGCAGGCAAAGTGAAGGGAAGCCAGTGGTCAGGCAGCTGATATGGGATGTTCCAATATTTAGATTGTAAGCTCTTTGGCTCAGGGACTGTTATTTTGTTCTGTGTTTGTACAGTGTATGGCACAATGGGAGCCTGGCCCATGACTGGGCTCCTAGGTGCTATGGGCATCCAAATAATAATAAGTTAATGTGGGTCAGGAAAAGTGATGGGGGGGAAACAAATATATGGTCATGCTGGTGGGATGTCCTAATGTGGGCAGGGGGACAGCAGGGTGTTAACTTCTGTTGGCATGGACTGGGTGGAGTGCAGACAGATGGATATGGGGTCCGGGACCACAGGCCTTGCACAGCCCATGGGAGAAACAATAATATTAAAAGGCCTTTACTGGAAATGCATAAAGATCTGCAAAGGCATCAGGCATGTCAGTTCTGCGCAGATCACTACGGCAGCCAATGCCATGGTGACACACCACTATTGGGGAGGGGAGAGAAACCCAGGCTTCAGCCTAGCAACAGTGAGCAGACCAATCCTGTTGCCAGCACGTTGTCATAACAGCCAGAAGGCTGGTCCAATGAAAAGGATGGTGTGGGATGAGATTAAGGAGAACAAAGGGACTGTAATAGTCACGTGGCTGGTGCGGTCCAGGCATGTTTAAGGGCTGTGGGAAATTCCAGCGAGTTCTGGCAATAAACGAGATCCGGCACATCTCTCCCTCCCTCTTCCACCTCCTTGCAGCTGGGAACCAAGGGCGCTATCCTGCTTTCTATTGAAACTATTGGGAGTTTGGCCATTAATTCCAGTGGTAGCAGGACTGGGTCCAAGACATGTGGCCCATCACCCTAAATTAGCTTATGTAACATTATGGAATTACTCTATTAAAAACAACTGCACAGCACAGATATCACTAGCCCCCTTCTCCTCCCCATATTACTGCAGCATTCAGGATGGCAGGACCTGAAATAATTTAACAAAATAATCTCATTTACTTTTCACTGTGTGGTTTGTTAAAATCTAATCTTTCTCCTATCAAATATCCGTAGTAATCAGTCAATATAGCATCTAGGTGCTAAAATAGGTCAATAAAAGTAAATGTTTCATTTCTAGACATTCGTGTCACTTTTACTTTCCAGCATTAGCTCAGTGCTGCAGTGATCTGAGTTGCTCTGTTACTTGTCTTAAATCAACTTGTTTCCTGGTAATGTGATTTTTTGTTTAATTCCAATTAACTGGGATTAAAAAAATAAAACATTTTTGTTTATTCTTGGACTTAAATGATTATATTTTAGGCTGGACTTAACCTGACTGTCACTTTAGAGTTTTCAGTCCCTGTAGAGTGTTAGTTGAGTGGGGCAGGGGTTTTGTGCTTTAGTTTCCTCATTTCTCACAGGTGTCCTTGCCTCCTTCTGTGCGGTCGGCAGACCAAAAGGAGGTTGAGTGTTTTAGTTTCCTCATTTTTTAAATTGATGAGTGGGGACGGTATAATACCCACCACTGTACAAGGGAGTTCAGATGCTTAACTGTCTATAAAGTGCTTTTAAATCCTCAGATTAAGGAACAGTTCTGTCCCTTGCCCCATATCTATACATTGCTGGTTCCTAGAGCATTTTGGTCCCTGGAGCAGCTCATAATAAAGCCACCTTTACATCCTTCCTCCCCCTGGGTTCCTCTGCTGCAGCACAGAATCTCAACTAAAAGGTGTAAGATTGGGGGGAAATATTGTTATTCTACTGCCTCAATCCTGCAAGAAAAACATAAGCCTGTTCCAGATAAATTAATGTGATATTACAAATTCAGCACTGTCAGGAGGAAAACTGGGTGGAAAGAGGGATGAGTACAAGTATCTTTCAAGACTAGAGAGAATGTTGCCAACAGTTTAAAGTGGGGACTGGAGAGTCAGAAGTTCAGGGTTTGATCTCCACCGTACCATGCATAAATCTCGACCTCTGTAAAATGTGACATGTTTCACGTGAGGTTTTGTTAATTTAGTTTTTGCAAAGATGGAGTTTTCCTACCCATGTGAAAGGTAGGAATTTATTTAATCTATCATTTCCTTTAGTAACCAGCACTTTAGTAGTAGCACCAATGTCTGGTTAGGATCCTGAAGCTGGACCAGTTGAAGCAGTTTGAGATGGCTCTTGATTTCTGTGTTCTTGACTTTGCTTGAGGAGGGGTAGGAGAAAACAGGAAATGAAAATTTACCTCACACACAGAAATACGACTCTGCATCTAGTGAGTCTTTAGGCAAGCGTTGGAGGTGGTTGTTAGCAAAGCTCAAATGTGGATAGACAAGACTAAACAAGCAGGAATGCAGAGGGAGAGGGGGGCCTCTCCCATGTTTATGGTTTTGTAATCATTCTTGAGATCTGAACTTCTTTCATTGGCTGTTCCCACAGCAACCCTTGCAGGGAAAAGGTCAAAGGTTGATGAATGTTGGCAGGTAAATGACCCTGAGTGATGGATGATCCTGTGTCTATGCTGTAAACAAAGCTTGAGTTATGCCTGCTTTGCTGTGTGGGGGAGGAACTGTGTTTAGCTTCACAGCACTGTATGACTCACATGGTGGAATGCAGAGGAGAGGGCCTTATTTAGAGCAAAAACAACAAAGAGTCTGGTGGCACCTTAAAGACTAACAGATTTATTTGGGCATAAGCTTTCGTGAGTAAAAACCTCACTTGCATCCGAA